TCTTGGGCTTCGATTATTTCGTTATTCTGGGTTATATGTGGTACTTGGTGTTGGACGCCTTTTTTGATTGCTTGGGTCTTACATTTCTCAATACCAAAATACATACCAATATCACCGGAAAACTACTCAGTCAGATTTAATAGGTTTGTTAACTGATTTTGTGTACTTGCATATATTTTTATGTCATCCATATACAGCAAGTGACTTATTCTGTTTTCCCTTTGTTTGTTAATTCTTATATTGAACCCATAATTGCAGTTGTTCTGGATATCGGAGAGGGGATTTATTGCTAAGCAGAACCATAACGGGCTAAGAGAATCGCCTTGAAAAATTCCTCTTCGGATCATTATTGGATCTGACTGAATTGTTTGTTCATTTAAGGTTATTTGGAGGGTGGTCTTCCAAAATTCCATGGAACATTTGAGAAATGTGCAGATTTTAGTATCAATTTTGTATAATTCCAGAATTTTGCATATTATTATTATTATTATTATTATTTGACAGACCGCGAAATTTAAAATGGTTTTATGTTGGATTTAAAGTTTCTAGTTTATAAACAAAATTTGGATTTTTAATTTGAATAAAATTCAAAAAATGCGTTGATTAGATAAATATTAATATAATATAACATTTAATTAATTAAATCTTATTATGTATATTAACTCATTAATTTTATTTACATCAAACACAATATTTGTTTACAAATTTTTTGTGAAGTTTTGCATCACTTGTCTTGATAGCAAAAAACATTCTGGTGCGTAAATACTGGTTTACAATATTTTTTAATTTCACTACACTGGCATACAGTTGTCCCAAGACCGAATCCTAATATTAAATTAAAACACTGTTGGACCATGTGACAACCATGGTAAGAAGACACGGTATGAGATTGCGCATTTTGTGTGACGTCATGTGGCTGTAATGACCACCAACTTTAAATTCATGTTATTAGCATCTGATTTCAGCTTAGCACTTTCGAAGATAAGTTAACTCATGATTAAATCGTTATAACCTCACATGTCACTGATAAATTGACATCTGACGGCGTTCGAAGTTGTCAGAAGAGCGTTTCAGGGGTGGGATTTTGTTTCTATAACGATAAAATATAGTACCGATAAAATGTGGTTGTCTTTTTATTTCGCATTTGAAATTTATATTTTCGTCCTTGTCATTTATCGCTTCGTATCGTATCGGTAGAAACAAAATCCCACCCCAGCTACGGTTTTCAAGGCAATGTGACGTCACGTGGCTGATGCGCAAAGCAAATGAAAATTCATCCACCGGAGTAGCATACCAATGGTGACAACCATTTACGTGCTGTCAACTAGGGATGGGCAGATTCGGTCATCACTACGAACGGATCGTTCATCGTTCGGTCCTTACGAAGACCCGGTCGTCAAATGTCGTTCATTTCGTTCATTTCGTTCACTTCGTTCTTAAACATTCAAGGCTCAGGGATCTATTGATGAATCATTCGGTCTTTCGGCTCTTCGGTCAATGGTCTAAGGGGTCAATTCCAAGTTGGTGGCGCAAGTCAGTGGTGCAGCGCAACTTTATAATGCTAATTTGGGTATCAAATGCTGGTTGCTAGGGGTGACGGAATAAACAAGCGCAATTTTTCGAGATAAATTGCGCCAACTTGCACTGCCTACTAGAGGTGCCGCAACTCCATGGTGCAAATTTCAATGGAAAATTTCAATTTATCTCGAAAAATTGCGCTTGTTTATTCCGTCACCCCTAGCAACCAGCATTTGATACCCAAATTAGCATTATAAAGTTGCGCTGCACCACTGACTTGCGCCACCAACTTGGAATTGACCCCTTATTAGTTTCCCTTTTGCTTGAATCCGATCACTTTATAGGGAAGGTCATGCTCAGAACTATCGCATAGGTATTCGAAAAAAAAACCCCGGCCCATTGCTGTCTTTTTTTTTTCGAATACTGCATTGTGTTATACGTCAAATTAAATCGTTTGAAATATACTATGATCTCATTCGAAAAATTAATGATTTAACGTTTATTTGGTTTTGCCTACATTTAATTTTTTTAATGCCTCCCATTTTTTTTAGAGATTCATGTAACGATTTTTTTCTGAATTCTGTGATGTATAAATAATAATTTAATATTTAAAAAAAGTAACTTGAATTTACAAATAAATACATCAATAGCACTTTTGACACAAAAATTAAATTCGTTTTTATCACAGCTTCCAAGCAACTTTTGAGTAAAATATGGCATATGGTAAATCAAAGAATTAAAAAAAAAACTAGAAGAATCTCTAAACAATGTATACGGTGTATTAAAAAAAAGTTGAATGTCATAGACAAAAACAAATGAACGTTAAATGTTAAATATTCTTAATTAATCAGGTCGTAGCATATTTAAAATGATTTAATCTGACGTCACACAATCCTGGATTCTAAAAAAATAACACGGATTTTTTTTTTATTAATAATCATTACAATAGTAATAGTAGTTACGCTAGATTTTTGGGGATGGGGTGAGATTAGAGAATAATAGCAGACTAATTTGTATGCTGTAATTCTAGAATCTCGAAAGTTGTTTTGTTAATCTAATCAATGCATATCATTACTTGGTCTTAGTACCCGTAATGATAGAAGTCTTGCCTGAATGCCGGTCATTTCCGGGTCAGTGGTGGGTCTTAATAATAATAATTCTTAATTTACATTTATTTTTTTAGTTTCTAATGTTCAGACGTTTATGAACATTGTATATTAGTTATCGTCATAAATTGTCATTTTTGTTCCCGGTTCCTAATTTAAATTCATACTACTGGAATTACTCTGTCTGGAAAACTTACGTTCTTAGTTAATTCCATAAATAGCATAGCATGTGCTCCTAGTATTGGATACAGAACATAGAACTGTGCTGGAGCCATGATTCAAAGATCCAACGGAACCAAAATCCAGTCGAGACAATGTGAACGGTGAACGAGTGAACGAGTGAACGAAATGAACGAAAGAACGACTAGTTTGCGTTGGGAACGATTTCGGTCACTCGTTCATTCGAACGACCCGTTCAATTTGATTCGTTCGTTCGCGAACGACACATCTCTACTGTCAACTCAGGTGACAAAATTTACAGCTGGTGTATCACACTCCATCTATTAAACGGTGGTTGGCAGTTTGAAAATTTGTTATAACAATTTGTTTTACATTGTGTGATTTTAGTCTTTATTTTTTATTTTGGTTATCGAAGTTCAATTAATTAAAATTTTGTTGGCTGTTGCCTCAAATTCTTTTTGTTGTAACTGTTCATTAATGAAAATAATTTATTACTATAATTAAGTAGACCTGTAATTAAAAGAATAACGAAATCATGAAAACGGACACGCAGACCATTATATCAATAAGGTGTAGATAATAATTAGAAGGCCATTACTATCATAACACCTAATTTCTTGCTTTTAGGATATTTAGATAATGTGCTAGCGTTAAATTACTTAGTAAATTTTACTCCAACACGTTTGAATAGTGTCCCAAATCCGTTGTTTCATCCTAAAACACTGAAAATTAATGTTGACTTTTTATGTGATATTTAGCCAACAGTTCATTCACCAACTTTCGTTGTCATTTTATGGTTACTACGTTTTCATAAAAAGTAAATTAACTTAATTAATTCCCCATCTACTATTAGGCAGTGGCCCGAATGAAGCGTGGATAGAGTTTGTAAAACAAAGATTTACTTAAATGTTTGGGCTCTCGGGAGCACTCTCAATTTTTTTGTCGTTGCATTTCAATAACAGCCTGTATATAAAAAAAGTGTATCACTTTGTTCAGTTACATACATACAGGCTGTTCATTTTATCTATTCACGCCTGATAATTTTTGCATAGGCAACATATTATACATCCCAGAGGCGACTTCGCCAATTTAATTTTTTTATGTCAATGCTAAACAATGACAAAATTGAAAAAATTAATACTCAATTTGTTAATGGATCAGATTACAACGAAAACGAATTTATAAATGTTCAAAGTGCTTGCCACGTGGGGATTTTCTGCTACAATTTCAATTAGAGCAGCTTCATTATCCGGCGTTGTTACGGTTCGATTTCTAACTTTTTTTTAATTACCCAAATTCTCGCAATTTTTTTCTAAACGCTTGATTTGAAGAAGTTCTTCTATTGGGATATTGCTTCGCGTAGAGACGAACAGCAGCATCAAAATTTTTGTCACACTTTCCCAATATTAATAGCATGTCTGTTTTTTCAGAATTCGAAAACATTTTAAAGCAAACGAAAATTGAAAATATTTGGCTGACAGAAATAATTTGTCATAATTTTGGTTCTGATCATTGCTATCTAAGCGTTCATTATTATTTAAAAATAAAACTTGTCAAAGCTGTTTATGAAACGTAAAATGGGTTGCCTATGCAGAAATATTCAGGCATGAACAGATAAAATGAACACCTTGTGTATCTGAAGATTGTTTTTTTCTGAAAATATGTCAACGGAAAGTTCACTCGGAATGTGATATGGATCCACAAGATTAGAAAGGTAGGAAAGAAAATGGCATCAAATTTCAACTTCTTAACTGAAAAAAATCACTAATCATTGCTTCGGAAGGACCTCGGCGACATTGTTGGAAAACTGTGAGGGTGATATAAAAGGATATATCGAACACTCTGGGGAAAAAACATATTCGTATATACCAAGACTTGCCTGTGAGGCCGAAGTCAGTTCCCAATGAGAGTAACTTAAGAAAAAAACTAAGTGTTTCAACAAACAAAGCAGGCTATGTCAAATTGTAGGCGATAATCTAATTTATTTTCATGTCGATGGAACAACCGATTCATGTGGATGTTATGCCGCAAATTTGTTGATTGGAATTTTGACCAGTGAAAAATGTGACACTTCACATATGTGGTAATAGCGGACTCGAGTGATAAATAAAATAATCAAAATAGAGCCACAAGACCACCATATAGTCAAAATGTTAACCTATTAGTAAAAAAAAAGTAAAAAGCCTGATCACTTACCTGACTTGACTTAATTAATGCCCTATACGTCATCGTTTTGGACCTAAAGTCAGCCATATTCACCTCAAAAACCACACTTTGTGTGCTGGTGAGCTGACTGGGACTTTGTTCATTTACTTTATGACGAATCTGCAGCTTCTCGTCGTAGTTGAACGAACAACCCTCCTCGAGATAATTATTGCAGTATTCGACTTCCTTAATAGTATCCTGAGTGGACCTACACAAAAAAAAAAAAAATCAGTAACGTTTCCAAAAAAAAGCAAAATCCAAACTTGCCTGAATATGAGATTGATAAATTCATCTGGCATGTATTTTGAAATAGGAACAGTATACGAATAATTATGAGTATCCGACTGTGGAGACAGGTATTTTCGGGTCAAGGTCGTGTTAAAATTTCGACCTTGGACCATAATCAAAAACACTTGATCATCTAAAAACAACCCTAGTGGAGTTAAATCAAATTCTTCATACAGAAAACAAATCACCTGTTGCGTCAAACGAGCTAATTTCACTCGCCAGGTCGTAAGTATCCCGTTTTTGCCTTTTATCAATTTCATTCGTGGTCGAGTGAAACGGCGTCGCGATTCTGTTCTTCTCCATGTTCAGAATCGCCTGTCCCGTTGTTTTGTTATTGTTCGCGTTTAGATTTTTGTCTCCATAGAGCGAATTCGGTGACTCGGGCGGAGGAATCACGGGCGGCGACGCTGCACAGCAGTAGATTTGACACAGCTGGCTGCTTTCCAGGTCTTGGTCGACGGACAGGCATTCCGGTGGTCGACCGATGCTGTCAGTTGGTCGTTTTGTCAAACTTGAATCGATGGTGATTTTCGTGACGTCATCAAGAAAGGTGTTGGCTTTGTGGTGATCGGTCACGGTATGCCACGACTGATGGTTTTTTGGAGATTTCATTTGTCGCTTGGTCACAACCGAACGGTGGGTTGCTTGGAGGTTTGTGTGGGCAAATTGGTTGTGGCGGGATGCTTCCATTAGGTACAGAGTTGTTATTGCGGCCAAACTAGAAAAATATGGGTGTTTAAAAGAGACGTTAATTAATATAAATTTTCTGATAGGTGGTGGATTCAAATTTTCGATTAGTTACTGCGCATGCGCAAACTATGCCCAACAGTGCTTGGAAGTAATTCAATTCCTTTTCAAGTAATAAGTAACTGAAATGCATTACAGGTTCATCGTATACTTCAAACGTGTACGCACGCATATTTTTGTCGCTGACATTTTTATCGATATCATTGAAATTATTATTGATTTTTACTGATATTGTTGTGATTGAAGTAATAAATATGTCTATGTGTACGGTTTGTGGAAAGAAAACAAGAAACACGGATTGTGTGGCATGTGATATCTGCAGAAAATTGGTCCATACTGGATGTTCTGGATTAGCAGCGATTGAGATTGAATGTGTACGTTCTAATTCTCGAAAAATCCATTATTTCTGTGATAATTGTGATGTAGTAACAACAATTAATAAATTGAAAACGGAGTTGGACTCACTAAAAATTCAGCTAGAGGAAGTGAAAAATAACCAAGGTAAGATGCCATTACCTGATAAAGACATTTTACCGACTGAAGAAGTAATCAATGAGGTTGAGGAAAGAAATCCTCGATCATACAATTTAATTCTTTTTTCCGGTGATCGTTTATTAATGAGGCGATTAATGCATGATTTTAGGCAATCAGATATACACGTCCTTACGTGAAATGTCATAATTCTGAATGTCAAAAGTTTCCCAAGTCAAGATTCAAAATGGGAAATTGCATAGAAATGGATTCTTTAACTCTTCTGGAAGTAGAAAACGCAAATGTGGGGTCACTAAATTTACTTCCAGAAAGAACCAAAATGCTTTACCAAAAAACCTACGATGAGTCTGTTGCTTGGTGCGCCGGAAAGCTGGTTGTAAGGTATTCGGAATTCGTATTACTTACATCCTTCTCCGAAATTTCCCAAAAAGACTCAATAGCACGCTTGTGGCCAAAGTATTCTATGCTTCGATCCACTTTATACGTCCATCATGATTTGGACCTATCCAACTAATGTTTATTCATAAAAATTTTCACTTGTATGTTTGGTTGCATAACTCATATTGTGAATTTTCAATAATTTTTCTAAAATTACGATCACCGGAAAAGTATTGTAACTAACTCGACTGTTAATAGGCGATTAATAATCTCGACCATTAACGTGCTCGTTCCTCGCGCCTTGAAATATCTCGATTATTAATCGCCTTTATTAACAAACTTGTTCGTTAAATAGCTATTAATTTACACGAATCAGAGGAAAACACTCAAATTAAACGAGATGAAGATGACATGAGTCGTGTTAAGAAAACGATCTTTTCCAATGGTAATGAGAATGAAAATAATATAAAAATTATGTCTTGTGGTCGATTAGGTGTGTTTAGGAATGATAAAATACGCCCAATGAGAATCTCGTTTGCAACTCCCCAGCATGCATATGAAGTCCTAAGAACTTATAATTAGACAGCGGATTTCTGTCGGGCTACGTCACGATTTTAGTGGGGACGCGCTGCATCGCCGGGACTCAGTAGCGGGTGATAGGTAATCACTGAATTTAATTGTCACTTGATTCCATAAATACAATTAACGATTTATTAATCAAACGGCTAACTAAATGAGAACTGGAATTAACAGCAGAGTGCAACGAAGCAGCGTTATTCTAATCTCAAATAAACGAAGTGCAGCCGGTAACTGCAATGAATTCCCATCCCGTACGAGCCGTACCGAGTTTGGCCTTGTCTAGCCCGACAGAAATACGCTCTCTACTTATAATCGTAAAAATCAGTTGTACCTTAATAAAGATTTAACGAAGCGTCAGCAGAATTAATGCTTTTTAATAAGAACTGAATTTAGAAATCGCAAAAAAGATGGTGAAACTGGCATAGCTTTAAAATATTCAAACGGAGTGCCGAAAATTAAAAAAATTGAGATAAAACACGCTTAGAATCCCAACAGACTTCTATGACACCTCTGCAAAAATCAAGTTATATATTCAATATTTTTTATCAAAATGTTAGGGGTCTAAATATTAAAATAAGTAACTTCTATACTTATGTATGTACCATTGATGAAGAAATTGTAGTCTTAGCAGAGACATGGTTAACCAGTAGCGTGTTGTCTAGTGAACTATTTCCAAGTTATTTTAACGTAGTTCGAGATGACAGATTATGTGGAAGAGGTGGCGGGGTTTTGATTGCAGTAAACGACAAATTTGCTATTAAGAAACTAAATGTTATATTACCTATTCCACAAATTGAAATAGTGGCAGCCAAAATTTCAATCAAAAAATCAAATATAACGGTGGTCGCAATTTATATTCCACCATCACAGCAAACTGGGAACTACATACAAATTTTTGAACACCTTGAGAATCACTTGGATTTCTCGAACCCGTTAATTATTTTGGGCGATTTCAATATCTCTGAATACGCTGAATGTGTGAGAGAAATGAAGACATCTAATTTATTCAACCTTTATAGTAATTTTATTTCTTTAAATAGTATTAGACAACACAACAGAATTACTAATACATATACAAGGGTATTAGACCTTTTTTTGTCAACTGATCATTTCAGTGTTGTTTGCCAGCAAAGTCAGTTTCTTTTAGTACCAGAGGATCCACATCATCCTGCATTAAATTCGTCTGTTTCACTAAATCTTAAAAAAAATATTTCTGTTAAGCAAAAATCAAAATTCATCAAATTTAACTTCTATAAAGCCAACTTGCAAGATCTATATGCGGCTGTATCGTCAGTTGAATGGTCATTTATTGAAAGCATCGAGGACGTGGATGTTGCGTGTGATTATCTTTATAAAATAATCTTTGATTTATTGGATCAACATCTACCCAAATGTAGTGTTAATACCAAACGTGCTAAATACCCTGCGTGGTTCACTAAATCCATCATTGATAAAATAAATGAAAAGAAGAAACACTGGAACTTGTATAGGAAAAACAAAGGCTTGTATCATATTAATAAAGTAAAAAATCTTAGACGTGACATCTGTAGTGAAAGTCGTAATGAATATTTACGATTTGTAAACAACAGTGAAAATTCCATCAAATATGACCCAAAAAAGTTTTGGTCGTTTGTGAAAACTAAAACAAAATCTCACGTGATTTTAAATGAAATGACATTTGGTGACGATGTTGTGTCCTCTCCACAAGAGATTGTCAACGCTTTCGTTTACAATTTTTCCACCGTTTTCTTTGATAATAACGTTCCGGGATGTGATAATAATTGTGATACGAATACTAACATCTGTGATATTTGTGGTGATAACAACTGTGTCTCTATCTCGCTTTAAAAAGTTTGTAATATTAGCTCTGTTTTGCATTTATGTTCTATTAATAACGATGACATTCTGAAAGCAGGAAAAAAACTTAAACCTAATTTAGTATCTGACCCTGATGGTATACCTGCGTTTTATGTAGTTGACTGCATTAGATGTTTGTTAATACCCCTTAAATATATCTTTAATTTAGTGTTAAAATCATCCACATATCCGTACAAGTGGAAATTGTCAAGTGTGTCAAATTTTTAAGTCAGGGGATAAATAAAGTGTTAAAAATTATAGACCCATAGCGCTTTTGTCAAACTTTTCCAAATTATTTGAAACTATATTATCTAATGTAATATATTCACATGTTATAAATTACATTGTCCCACAACAACATGGTTTTGTCAAAGGAAAGTCAACCACCCCTAATTTATATGAATTCACGCAATTTGTGTCATCAACTTTAGATAATAACTTCCAAGTAGATGTGATATATCCGATTTGACAAAAGCGTTTGATAGGGTGAATCATTGCGTGCTTTTAAAAAAACTTGAAATGTTTGGATTTTGTAATTATTTGTTGTTACTATTGAAGTCAATGATTATAGGGAGAAAACAATATGTTGAGTATTGTGGATGTAAGTCTTTTGAAATAGATGTAAATAGTGGGGTGGCACGAGGTTCCAATTTGGGTCTTCTGCTTTTTACCATATTTTTTAATGATGTAACGAATCTTCAAACAAAAAGTTTTATTTATGCAGATGATCTAAAGATAGTAAATATAATAAAGTCTGTTCATGATTGTCTGAAGTTGGAATAGAGTTTAGATAGTTTCATTACTTGGTGTCATAATAATAAATTTGATGTTAACATTGACAAGTGCAAAATTATGAGAATAACAAGAAAGGTAGATAAATTGAATTTTGATTATAACATAAATGGCTTGCCGTTACAAGTGTGTAATGAATTTAAGGATCTAGGTGTAATATTTGATTCCGCGTTGTCTTTTGTATCGCACATCGAACATATCGTGAACAGTTCTTTTAAAAATTTAGGTTTAGAAATAGAGCGGATTTTAAAGATATATTGAGTTTTAAACTTTTGTTTTATGCGTTAGTTCCAAGTAAGCTTGAGTATTGTTGTGTAGTTTGGGCACCACATTATAAAATTTATATTAATCTTATTGAAAATGTGTCGCGAAAATTTTGTAAATTTATTTATTTTAAGATGTATGATTCATATCCGCCTCAACACTGTGCATCAGAAGCGTTATATAATATAGTTGACGAGTGTTTCCTCTATGCGCGGAGAAATGTAGCCTGTGTAACCTTTATGCAAAAACTAATAAGTGGCAAAATTTTCTGTCCATCAATATTACAAAATATTCAGTTTATCTGCCCCCGTGTAAACTGTCGTACGCCTACAACATTTTATTATCAGGTGCTTAGTACATTTCATCATTTCAATAGCCCGCTTGCGAGATGTTTGAGATTGTGTAATTGTTTAATAAATCATAATGTAGACATATTTATGATAATTTTAGTAACGCAAAATATAAAGCAAAACTAACTGCTATTTATTACAACTTTAATACGATTTAAGGTTTGTTGTGATCTGATTTGCTTTCCCTTTTCATTTATATTTTGTGGCGTTGCTGTGATGTTGATGTAGGCAACACAACGCACACGTACTACTTCCTCTCGCCTACGAGTAGGCAACTCAATATGTTCACCGAACACCACTCGTGATTGGTGAACGTGGCGCCGACGCAGAGTCCAACTGGGGACACAAGGAGGCGCGAGTACGGCAAGTACTCTCTTCTGCCGCCGACATCGAAACGAAGAAGATGGGTACCGTCTCCTGTTCCACGTGTAAGATATCCGTTTGTAAATAAACTATAGAGAAACCCTACCTGGTGTTAGTCATTTCCACATTGGTGACCCCGGAAAGAAAATAGGAAGAGCTAGCACCATGGAAGAAATGCAAAAGAAACTGCAGGAACAACAAGAAATAATTTGCCAGTTCCAGACACAACTGGCTACCATCTCCAACAAACAAGCCCTTGATGAGGTAAGAAGTGGTTCAAATCTGAAGCTACCGACATTCTGGCAGCGAGACCCGGTGCTTTGGTTTGCACAAGTCGAAGCCCAATTTAATTGCGCGAGAATCAGGTCCGACCAGACCAAGTACTGGACCGTGGTAACCGCCTTAGACTGTGCGACGCTCCAGCCGGTTGCCGATTTGGTCGCCAACCCCCCAACAGAAGAGACAAAGTACGAAAGCATAAAATCCAGATTGATCGCCGCCTATGCGGACACTCACCAGCAGAGCTGACCTACGGAACGCAACTGAAAGTCCCAGGCGAATTCTTTTTTAGCAATATCGACAGATCCGTAGAACCCACTACTTTTGTAGAAAAACTACGGGACCACATGAGGAAACTTCGCCCAACTCCAGCGTCGCACCACATTAGGCAAAGCACCTTCGTCCACACAGAGCTCAGTAAATGTAGCCATGTTTTCCTAAGAGACGACACCGTGCGAAGACCGCTCCAACAGCCCTACACCGGTCCACACCTTGTCCTGTCTCGTACTGCTAAGATAATAAAGGTCAATGTAGGCGGTAGGGAAACAACAGTGAATATCGACAGAGTAAAACCCGCTTTTATTCTCCAAGAACCAGAACCACCACCGGCTCCATCCCCAGTACGAACACAGGAAGTTACTCAAACTACCAGGTCAGGCCGCAGGTCAACACTCCCCGCACGTTTCAGAGAATGACAACTGACAGCCGTTTTGACAGCTGTCACCCGTTACTTGGGGGGGGGTATGTGGCGTTGCTGTGATGTTGATGTAGGCAACACAACGCACACGTACTACTTCCTCTCGCCTACGAGTAGGCAACTCAATATGTTCACCGAACACCACTCGTGATTGGTGAACCTGGCGCCGACGCAGAGTCCAACTGGGGACACAAGGAGGCGCGAGTACGGCAAGTACTCTCTTCTGCCGCCGACATCGAAACGAAGAAGATGGGTACCGTCTCCTGTTCCACGTGTAAGATATCCGTTTGTAAATAAACTATAGAGAAACCCTACCTGGTGTTAGTCATTTCCACATTTTTCTATTTTGTTAGGTTCTTTTAGAAACAATTTTAATAATGTTAGTGTATTAAGTTTCCACCATACACAATGTAGTCTGTTGGAAATAAATCCTTATTATTATTATTATTATTATTACTTTTCAAGAAATGTAATGAATAATTGTAACGAATTACTTTTTTTTAAGTAATTCAGTCACTTTTACAATTACTTTTTGCTATTACTTTTAACCCAAATACTCAAAAATATTGTTTTGTTTTTCTCTAGGAATCGTTTACCTGACCTGCTGGGATTATTACACCTAGTTCGTCCCCACGAAGAGATTACTAGACAGCGGATTTCTGTCGGGCTACGTCACGATTTTAGTGGGGACGCGCTGCATCGCCGGGACTCAGTAGCGGGTGATAGGTAATCACTTAATTTAATTGTCACTTGATTCCATAAATACAATTAACGATTTATTAATCAAACGGCTAACTAAATGAGAACTGGAATTAACAGCAGAGTGCAACGAAGCAGCGTTATTCTAATCTCAAATAAACGAAGTGCAGCCGGTAACTCCAATTGAATTCCCATCCCGTACGAGCCGTACCGAGTTTGGCCTTGTCTAGCCCGACAGAAATCCGCTCTCTAGAGATTACCCAGTAGGAAGTTAAAATCTAAAACGAGATTACCACAGAATTTATTAAGAAACCAGGTAACCATAATATACGTTAGCTCTTCATCATTTTAAGGGTGCGCTAAAGTGTATTCCAGCATAGGGGAATACATATAAACTTTTGCTCAAGTTTTTGCCAAAAGTATACGTCCGATTGTAATAAATTTCACACCATTGTAATGAGCGTAAAAAACCCTACCCAGACTGTTTTTCCGTTTTTTAAATTTCGTTGTCAAAAAAAACTACAACGCGTTAAAATTGTGATGAGTATGAGATTATCTGGTTTTCGCTATTTATGGATCAATTTTAAATTTTCAAAAAGGTACATTAGTCGAAATTGTATTAATTAAAAAATCCATTGCGCTTTACAGAAATAAAATATCTTAATAAATAATTGAGTAAACAGGGTCAGAATATTTAAAATTTCTGGTCAAACAAACTTTAGCCAATTTTCTGGTCCACTCAAATCTATAACAGGTACCCGATAGAGTCCGTCCTTTTAAACCCCTCATAATCCGACAATAAAATTTTATGAGAGTGTCCACCCTCTAAGGTTTTCTAAATTTAATCTGTAAGTCACAACGCAAAGTAAGAGGCCATTAAAGACAGAATTTTAAGTTTACATTATCTTTTAGGCCCCTTCTAAGTAATTAGGAATATCCTTTTTATTAAAAATTAACAGATTTGCGTCCGCAGGTAATTATCGGTGGACTAATATTTACGATACATTTACACGTAGCCAATAAGATATTTTGAAATCTCCCACCAGTGCAAATTTTTGTTTAAAAATTATTGTAGTTGGCATCGAACTTTTATTTGTAGCTAGAGCTACATAGGTAAGGACAATATTAGGTATCTGTTGGTAAGTTACACAATTTCATACGAAGAACTATGGGAACGAACGGAATAAGAACCAACTGAAATTAGATAGGACACACTTAGAAAGCCAAACCCGAATATCACTAAATAAGCATTAAATGATCACATCCACAGAAAAAGGAAACCGAGTCCAACAATGATGAAAACTATACACAAATAGTGTCTTGAGTACTACTACTAATTACTACACCTTTAAAAAATTCTGGAAAGCTTATTTCCATGTGACCTTGTTGGGACACCTGAGTCAGACTGATTAAAACATATTCCAAAGTAACAAATTCCGAGTTTGACAAGTTTTTTATTTCTTCTTTCCTTTTACCTGTATAGCAACGTCATTTCCCGTAGTCGTTTTTTGTATTTTTAATTGTAATATTTATGTGTACAGGTGAACCGGAGTGAAAAATATCGTGTTGTTTTAACCCTCTTCTTGCTCTTTCTTTGTTAATGAAACAATTTATTTAGTTTAAGTATGTTTCCACCCTGTCTTTTTTTAACCGGTAACGAAAGAGAATATTTGTAAATAATATGTGACGTAGAAATTGTTACTAGTTCTTGTGGGCAATGGTGAAAGGCTTTTAAGTAATATAAATCAGAATTTAACGCATTAGCTTAAGCTGAGTTTTTGTCGTGCCATTGACGTAAACGTCAACGGTCAAGTTGAGCGATAGGTTTTTTGTTTATAACGGATTATCTAACTGACTAAGGCGATGACATTGGTTAGCGACTATCATTGGCGTACTGTCAGTTTAACAGTAATTTATTTTATTATTTTTCAATTTTAAATTTTCTTATAATGTCAAAAAAATTAAATAAATAAAAACGTCTGTTTTGTTTTGTGATTAATCAAGATACATATCATCAAATGCAATACATATTAACAATTATTGGAAAATTAGGTCCGGAAACCTAACATCGCTGTAGATTAAGCGACACAATAATTTTATTTAAATTTATAATAAAACATTTTTGTTTTTCCTTTCAAATTAATACAACACTATTGATCGTATATGGATTTCTAAATGGGAAACTCACCAATACATACAAGTATAGTGTTGTCCTTTATCAATGCATTCATATTTTTAGAGCAATTGTTAATCCGGTTCTTATCATGGATTGACGACCAGGTCACTTTACAGTCACTTTATGACCGATATAAACAAGTGTGTTTTCGTAACATAATGTAGCGGGGTATGGGTTATTAAAGTATGATACATTAATGACTTCAAAAAAACACGCTCGACAAAATCTCTAAAAAATGTATAGTGTGTCATTAAAAAATAAGTCATGTGGTAAAGAAACAAAAAAATGTATAAGGTACCAAAACGAATTTATATGTCATTGACCTTCTTAGGCGGTTACTGGTATTACTTATCTATATTTCTTTTAATATATAGAGGTTATCACGAATCAAAATTCGCAAAATCAATTTTTTTAATGTTTCAAAGCTGGATTTGTTGCACTGCACTTCAGGGGCGAGGGGAGTCCTGTCGAATTTATTTTCGACCAATTTTTTGATTGTATACTTATCACAGCAACCTTGACCTCTGCTCGAAAAACTCAGCACTATCCTACCCGATTTCTAAAAGATTAATAAAATATAAAAGTGCAGTTAAACAACATCTTCTTAGTAACTGAAACGTATGCAATAATGAAGTCAATTATTACCCTCTTTGTTTTACCACTCATCTTTGCTGAAAACCCCGCAGTCAAAGAATTTACAAACGCGAACAACTTATTCGCTCAAAACGTCTACAAGGTAAATCTGACACCTACTAAACTCTTTTGATTCGTCAGTTTCAGCAACTTTCTCAAAACCAAGACGCCAACTTCTTGGTGAGTCCTTTCTCCGCTGAAACGGTCCTCGCTTTCGCTCAATCCGGTTGTAAAGGCGAGAGCGCAGAAGAAATCCGGAATGCTCTACATCTTCCAAATAAAGATAAAGTCGAATCGGCTCTCAAATCTCTACTTCCAAAATTTCAAAGCAGCGACTTGTACACTCTCCACACAGCTAACAAACTCTACATCAAAAACAACTTCGTTATTAAGGACGAGTTCAAGCACGCTGCAAGCGTGGTGTATCAGACTCATCCTGAGTCCGTCGACTTCACCAAGAGTGTTGAAGCTGCTAAAACTATTAACGACTGGGTTGGAGATCACACCAACAACAAAATCAGAGATTTGATCAACTCTGGTGATTTGGATGATGACACTCGGGCGGTTTTGGTCAACGCTTTGTACTTTCAAGCGAATTGGTCAAGGCCATTTCAGCTTGTAAATACTCATAAAAGACGCTTTTTCAAGACTGCGAGTGACATTATTAAAGTTGATACTTTGACCCATTACAACCAATATTTCAATTATTACGAATGTCCTCATTTACAAGCCCAGTTTTTGGAGTTGCCGTTCAAAGGTGACGCTTCTTTGGTGGTGGTGCTTTCAAATGAGAAAGATGGTTTGTCGTCTCTTGAAAAACAACTAGACCAAGTGTTTGCTTCTCAGCACGAGTTGCAAAAAACGTTCCTTAACGTACTTTTGCCGAAATTCAAGATCGAAACTACTGTCGATTTTAAAGTCGTACTACAAAATGTAAGTTGTTTTTGGGAAAAAGTACGTAGCTAATTGGTTTCGTTTGCAGCTGGAGGTGAGACAAGTTTTTGATGCCCAAATGGCTGATCTTAGTGGTATCGCAGGCGATAAAGGGGATTTGGTTATTGATAAAGTTGCCCAAAAAACCTATGTTGATGTGAGCGAAGAAGGTGTGGAAGCAGCTGCAGCTACTATTTCGTGTAAGTATCTCTATAAGGCGATCGTGAATTTATCATTAAATTTTCCAGTAACCGTTGAACCATACAGTGGTTATTTAAGCCCTGTTATCCCGACAGATTTCGTCGTAGATCACCCATTTATTTTCTTTGTTAAAGTGAACGGAGTTATCATTTTTGTTGGAAGGGTTACTGATCCCTCGCAATATTAAACTGTTATTAGATTTTGACGATGATGATGATAATAATAATAAGTAAACAAGCAGCATCATATATGTATAATACTTTTACCTCAGTGTTTTATTTTTTTTAATTACAATAAATTTAATAAAATTAAGAACTCTTTCATTTTTAATAGATCAAAATAAGAATGAGCCACCTCATTTTCTCGTTCGTCTTTATAACAATAAAATAATGATACGGTAAGAATTACAATAATAACATTCAGAGTAGTTTGTTCATTTGAGGCTTATTAATAATTTTAGTCATCTGTTTTGAGACGATAAACTCATTCGAATCAAACAAATGTCTACGTGACATTCCTTCGATGCATAAACATAAACATTTTAAGCACTACGCATATTGTTGAGAAACCATTTTTCCGAAGAACAAAATAATACATTAGCTTTCAGGTTTGAGCTAAATATGCAGTGGTAAATTAGGTACCGCGTCAATTCGTCGCGCGACAATTGATCGCAAACAATTGATCGCAGGCGAAAAATGATAGCGTTTATAGAGAAAATAAGTAATTGTTATGAACGAGGAAAATAAAATAAAGTGATATATTCTCAAAAATTTCATTATTTTTAAAAAAGTGTCAAAATAAATACATACGAGTTCCATAAAAACAGTAACTATTAGGCTCAGTTCCTACTAAACCAAAGTGCAAAAAAGTGAAAATATTGTAAAATAATTTGTTTAATGCTGTGTTCATTTGGATTATTCGTCTTATTAATTAGATACTCAAGTAAGTGATTCATGCTTTTTTTCTCACAAGTTTAAAATTTGTCATTTAAACGAGTAAAAAAAATAGCTTTCAAAACGTGTTACACACGTCATTTTTTTTTATAAAAAATGGCTTTAAAATTATTACAACTGTCAAATTAAAAATTTATAGATTTATCATAATCAATGAAATCGTGAAAAAACTCTCGTTACAGTTTTAAGTGAAAAAGTATTATTTTCATTACGTTTGATAGTTTAAAAAATTAAATATATATATATATATATATTTTAATAAATTTGGTGCAAAGAAATTTGAATTTATATGTATATTAACAATTAATCTTGGAGTTTACTGCATTCTTTGCAGACAACTTTTTGGTCACTACAAATCAGTTCTGGATTATATTTAATCCATGATAAAACCAAAGATGTTTTTTCATTCAGAACTTTTTTGAACGCTCACACTGTTAATGAGGCGCTTGTAGATACGAAAGAATGAATAATTTATCTCATTCCCTTTGCTAAGTAAAGTACTCCAAAAGCTATAAGGTTATATGGCCATCCAAAAATTATCCCATTGTGTCGAAGTTAAGTTGTTTAGAATACAAAAGGTTTTAAGGTCGTAAATAACGTGTCCACTGCAGCTCGACCGACTGCTATCAGTTCGTTCAGGGGTGGCTTTCACTAAATATCTAACTAATTACTACTACTACCTGCAGTAACAAAGGGTTCCGAAATAACCAGTCGCTTTGAAAGCCGGCCCTGTTAAATGTGGCAAGAAATGTTTAGAAGACGATTTATTGCCAACCGGTAAGCTTAGTGCGAACCACACAAAGGGGATATTTATTTGCGGTCAACTACTTTTATGATGGTCATATAACCTTATATCTTTTGGGCTACTGTACCTACATACCAATCTCCACTTTTACACCATTTGTGTAAACAAGATCGTAAAAAGATTAGTTTTGACCATGGAGCAAAGAATATACTCATACTGGAGGAGTGCCAGACTTAAGGGGACTCGCTAGACGAGGTATAACATTTTTTTGGTTTTTTGTATGAAAAAATTATATTAATATAGATGTATCATACATCAAACTGCAGCTTTTTTCATATTCTAGAGCGCAGAGACCAGTTCAATCAACTAAAAAAATATGGCTGAGAAATATCGTAAAAAAAGCACCATTGTATGTTTTCTTTTCAAGTTTTTTGAGTCATAACCATCATAGAATCGCTTGAAAATTCGCACATGGATAAAACATCACTTTTTACAGGGCGCAGAGTCATTAAATGTTAGTGATACAATTTGTTTAAATAATAATGTGTTTATTAAAATCAAAATATACCACAAATTAATGAAAAATACGTCGAATAATTTTAACAGGAATATCAGAGGAAAATTAATGATCTATTGGTTAGCAGAGTTTTTAATAAAAACTAACAATTATTGAAAAAAGTGGGTATCGATTCGACAGAATTTGAGCAGTTAGTTCAGTACTTTGCCGATAGGAGCGCCACTAAAATTTACGGAAGCGATTTTCCAGGTAAAACCCTTATCGCCTGCTCTACCATAAGCTGATTGTTAGAGTTCTCGGCTGATTTTTCTAATTTATGGCAAGGAACTCAGTTTTATAACAAACCGCCAGGACCGGCCGTAGTAATCTATTGTTAAGGAAATTAACTTTTACGCAATGAGGTACTATCATAAAACCGAATTAATACTGGGAAACTATAATATTTTTACTCCACTCAGGATCCTGAATTCAATACACATGATTACTAAAAATTCATTGTAATATTATTAGGCAGGTTCGTCTTTCTTCTTGAATGAATTATTTCGGGCAATAATGCGCCAAAGTAAAATCTGCCAAGTTTTTACATATATTTCTTCGTCTTTATAAATTGTTTCTATATTTATTCCTTTGGGTGTCCATACAACAAAATAAACTTGTAAAATACCCGTAACAAGTATTTGTCCCTGGACTTGAAAGTAGTAATCATGATTTTGTTTTAGTTTCAATTCTCTGTCTGTCAATGTACAAAATTTGATTATTTTTTCTCTAACCGCTTCTTCGGGAGACAAATCTTGCGATTTTGAAGGGCATTTAATTTCGACTAATGCACTCCTTTCCTCTAGAACTCTGTCTGGACTAGCAGCCAAGTAAGGAAATTGTTTTGAAATAAACAAGCCACTCCGTTCAGTTTTTATATTTTTATTTATTTCAAAACACTTGACAGCTTTTTCCTCACTTTGCTGTCCATAGTATGTATGACTATTACCTCTAAATGTACTGTACAACAGAGACTCCACAGTTTTAGCTATTGCTGTAGTCGTTCTAAGTTTGTAAATACGTCCAAAATTTGAAGCTGTAACCCTAATTTCTCTTTCTTTTGCCCAAATGTGCCTGTTGCCTAGTGTCTATTTCAATTTGGTCTAAATTCAAAGATAATTTTCTCAAAAAAACCTCTTTGGCTGTCACAAATGTTTTTACACCCATGACAGGATTTTCTAAAAAATATTTAAACCATAATCGCAGTCGGGACCAGCATACGTAAATTTTTTTACGAATACTTTGTCTAAGACGAGCTTGTTTTATAGACGAACAATATTTTTTTGTTATTAAACCAGGACCGTTTTAATCACAATATATTTACTTATCCCCTCTAAAAAATTGATGACGTCACCTCAAAATTTTGCTGAATAAATCCTATTTGTATAAAATATGATGAGACTCTTCTTGTGATTTATCATTCCATTCATGTTTTTTGGATTTGCATATACAGGATGAGCCCAAAAATTAATGAATGCGTAAATTTATTTTATTGATGTAATCAGGAACTACAGAACCCAATGCTTTGAAATCTTGCAAATGTTTTAAGGTTATAAAGAGTACAATAAATTTTTAGTCAAAATATATTTGCTTATCCCCTCCAAAAAATTGATGACGTCAGCTCAAAAGTTTGCCGTATAATCCTATTTAAAATTTACAAAATATGATGAGTCTCTTCTTGTAATTTATTATTCCATTCATATTTTTTGGATTTGGATAAACAGGGTGACTCAAAAAATTTAATGAATGCGCAAATTTATTTTATTGATTTAATCAAGAACTACAAAACCGAATGCTTTGGAATCTAATGTGAAAAAAAAAACATAATAGGCATGCAGTTGTCACGTTTCCGATAGCAAGGGTACTGTCTAAACTCTTTAGACCAATTTTTTTTATTTTCCCATTTTTCCATTTCTCAATTTTTCAATGTTTCAGTTTGGGATTTTTTCACTGTTTCGATTCTTTAATTTTCCTTCCATTTTTAGGTTTTTCAATATTTCAGCTTTGGAATTTTGCAATATTTCGTTTCTTCAAGTTTTCAAATTTTTCGATATTTTAATTTTTCAGTTTTTAAAGTTTTAGATTTCTCACTATCTCTACTTTTCGATTTTTCAGTTCCATGATTTTTCAATTTGTCGAATTTTTAAATTTTAGATTTTTTGTTCTCGATCATTCAATTTTCTTTGTTTTCAGGCTTATATTTTTTTTGTTGTTCAATTCTTGGATTTTTAAAATTTTTGTTTTTTAAATTTTCCTATTTATCAACTTATTGGGATTTCAATGTTTTGATTTTTTGATTGTTCAATTTCTCGATTTTTTTAATTTTTAGTTTTTGATACGATTTTTTTTTCAAAAATTTTCAGTTTTTCAATTTATTAACTTTACGATATTTCAGTTTTACGATTTTTAAATTTTTTTATTTTTCAGTTTACAATTTTTGACGTTTCTAAATTTTTCGATTTTTCAATTTTTCGATTAACTGATTTTTTGATTTTCCCATTTCTCTAATTCTTGATTTTTCAATTCTTTCTTCAATTGTGATTTTTCAATTTTTCGATTTCTGGATTTTTCAATGTTTCAGTTTTGGATTTTTTCACTTTTCCGATTCTTCAATTTTCTTTCCATTTTTTAGTTTTTCAAGATTTCAGTTTTGAATTTTTTCACTTTTTCGATTTTTAATTTTCCTTCCATTTTTCAGTTTTTCAGTATTTCAGTTCTGAGATTTTGCAATGTTTCGGTTCTTCAATTTTTCCATTTTTGATGTTTCGATTTCTCGGTTTTTCAATTTTTCGATAGGTATTTTAATTTTTCAATTTTTAAGTTCTAGACTTTCCGTTAATTTTTTTGTTTTCCTTGATGTTTTGATTTCTCGGTTATTCGATTTTTCAAGTTCTCGGTTTAGATTTTTTTGTTTTCTAATTTTTCGATTTTTAAATTGTTTAATTTTTAGATTGTTCAATTTCTCGATTTATAGATTTTTTAATTTTTTGGTTTACCGATTTTTTTCATTTAAAATGTTTCAATTTTCCAATTATTAAGTTTTCGATTTTTCAATTTTGGTGTAATTTGAAAACGGTAATGATAATACATTTAGGCGAATAAACTAATAGACGGACTTGAGAAGCCTTGTTTGCTCTACAGTGTCTAAATTGTGTTTGAATAATATAATAATTATCTCGAATATTAAAATTAATATGTCAAAAGAATACGAAAAATGATTATTCTGTGCTGAAGGTATGTTGTGGGCCGCCTGTCATAAATTATCATTATTCTGCATTATCGGCTTAGGATGTTTTTATGACCCACGTCCGGTAGTCGTCTATCCCAGCGCGTCAGGTAGATTTAAAGAAGAATTGCTGGTTGCGTTTAAGGCAACAAATGGCGCCCAATTCAAACTTGTCTCTCGTCTAGCGTTCCCCCTTAAAATGATGGTTTCGACCTAAACCGCTAAAGTGTCATAAACAGTACCCCTCATTACCCAGATAAGACTGCTGATGACAGTGACGTACAGTTTTTTTTTTTGAAGCGGTTCATGGAATAAAAGTTGTTGAATAAAACAACGCACATAACAGATTTATATTATCTATTAATTAATATTATTTAAAATATTTAAATCAATCAATACATCACGAGTAACAAGTCATACAAACAGTGAATACCGTTAAAAAGTAGGAACAACCAGGATGACGACGCCACTGAGTGGTGGTTATTCGCAATGGCGTGACTAATTTTTAGCTTGGGAAGTTTGAAAAGTTTATTGAGGGGCATTTCACTGGGAAGGGCTATTCACTCAGAATTATTTGCCTAATCTGCGAACCAATTATTTCTTCCTTTTTTTTTTAGATCTAAGAGCTGTTTTACACGTCACAGAAAATCTATCGTAAAAGGAATTTTTAGAAATAATTTTCTCGTGATTAGTCGGTTGCAAAAGTTCAAGAGGCACTCGAAGCAAGCTCTGACAAACTTATTAGCGGCGCCAATGGAGATTTCCAACTGGCTGCGGTACCACCATGGACACTCGCGTAACCTCCTTTTCCAGAATTGTCAAAATGACATTGCCAAACTCAAAGCAATCATGGATTAAGCATTTCATTTTAAATTCAGTTAGTATCAAGTGGTACATGGTATTCGTATTTTGGGTTGCGTAAAAATAATTTTCTGAAGTAATTTTCTCGTGACAAACCCTGTATATGCATTTTTTACACCCACATATGGTACAACTGAATTTTTCTTCAGTACAATACTAGTCACATAATAATAATTAAAAAGGTAACTTATTAGTTGCATAAGTACCTACATTTCTTAGATTTCCCGGTAACACAAAATTATTCTTGACGCCCTAACAAAAGTTTTTGCAATATATATTTACAATACACGTAAACCTTTCTCAAACCCTGTAAAAGATCCGCTGCAATTTACAAGGAATTAAAATAAGTATTACATCCGTCCAGTGGAATTTACATTCGCTGCATATGGATACTCTAGATGTACTATTAGTTCATAAATTTTATTGTTTGGTGATATGTACGAGTATAAAGGCAAGAATAGACAATAGAGGCAATTCTGTTTCAAAATGTGTTAAAATTTAAAGGTTGTTAAAAATTTGATTTTTTAAATAATTGTATAATAAATCTAGTTAAGGACAATAAACACTTTTTTATGCTGAGTACTTATTATAATGAAGCTAGTTCCTATAATATAATAGGTAAAATAAGCAACGACATAAATAGTAATCTGTTAACAAAAAAAATAACCAAAATGACAATTTATTAATAAAAAATCTTATGTAACAAGGTGTTTACGCTCGTATTTTTTAAATTTTAAAGTGCAACTACAAACTTTGTCACTTATCTATATTCAAACTGTTTTTAATTCGATATTTACACCTTACCTGATTGCTAAATTTATTGCAACTTAAAATTCAGAATACAAAATATTTAGTTTTAATAAAATAAAATAAATACTTCCCGATGAATTTTACCTTGCGATCAATTGACGCTGCGATAAATTTAAACTCGGTTTGCGCTAATAATTTTTTTTCAGTGGCTATTAAATTTTGAATTTTGATATTTTGTTCATTAATTGTTGAATGAAAATAATTAGGTAAAACGTTTCCTTTTAACTTTAAGTCGTAGAGGAAATCTTCTTGATCACAGTGCACCTTAAAATATGATTTTAAAAATACAAAGGAACGGATTTTACAAAAGTAAGCACTTTACAAATTTTGAAGGTAGAACCAATATTTCAATTTGAATGCCTCAAACTTTCCTTCCAAAGTACAATGGTCTTCTTACATGAGGGAAAATTATATAAAGGATATCCATCGTTTGAGCTGTTATTACAATTAATTAAACTGCAGTGCATTTTCAGAAAATATTTTCAATGTTTGACTTTTTACTTCAAAAAATGGCAAATTATAATAAATAAGTCAAGTGGATTGCTGCAATTTTTTTTAGGAAACTGGAAAACCCTTTGAGATGAACGTTCATGATAAATTTGACAACAACTTTAGCATACACGTGTGTCTGACAACCAGTCAAACTGTCACTTCGTGTATGCGTCTGTGAACACACCCTCCCATTTTGTTACAATACAGTGAAATTTCTTACAGAGTGCCGAATTTTTAAAGATCTACTACATACTACTTGAAATAGCGAAATAATCAAACACTTACCAGAAGGCCATAATGAGGACCAAAACTACTATAATAATTTGTATAAATTTGTTAGAGCACAATTCTTCATCTCTGTTACAGTGATGTTTTGAGCACTTCTGTGAATATGAATGTTTTAAGCTGCTTACTACAATACGTGTTAATTAAAAAAAATTAGAACAGAATGGTTTGAAAAGACCTACCTGTACTGTTAGACTTAAGGCTATCCCCCCTCTTCAGTTTATTTAACCGTCTATTTATCCTCTCTAACTGGTCTATCCGCGTCTCAAGATTATCTGTCACTTTGCACAATTCTTTCACGGCACCAATATTCTCCATAAAAATCCGTTCTTTGTTCACCACCAAAAAATTATCTATGGATGTACCATTTTTGAGAATGAGATCACCGGCAGGCCTCACTGCCTCTGGAAGAATCTTGGCAACTTCTTGGGCTATGACACCAGTATCTGAACGAGCCTCACGAGATAATTGTGATGCAAAGGACGGTTCATAATCGTATCTAAAAAATTAGTAAAACATAATTCAAAACACTTGTGTTTTTTCAAAAAGTTACCTAACAACTCGCAACTTTTGCACATTTCGTAACTGCTCAGCAGTATCACACTCCACTATGTTTTTCTTGGCTCGAATGTCACTTGGTTGAATTATATGTCCCGTTACTTTAATGTTTCCATGAACCACCAACGATTCGTCAGGTCGGTCCGTGTTAATTCCCACTTTCCCATTGTGAAAAATTGAGTCCTCCAGCAAGTAAAATAAATATAAAAATATCACCGCCACAGTAAATCGGGCAACTCACTTGGGTTTGTCCTTTTTGCCAACATAACTCTACGTCACTTTCGAACTGTCCCGGATTCGAAGCTCTCACGATAATTTTCTGACTTGCGTGGCTAATGACAGGGAAATTTCCATTAGTCGTGTGTGCGTGAAGGCCTACCACTAGCTGCAACTTTTCCTTGAAAAAAATATTTCGAAGTAGTGGCGACTCACCTGAAAGTATCTTTGTTCGGGATTCGGTTTTCCCTTTTTTCTCATGTTATTCGAAGTGGTTTCACTAAAATGTAATCTTCCGACTGTTATTTTCGTTACTTGCGAATTCACCAATTCGACCCTGAAATTGACCTTGTTTTTTTTTAAATTATAAACAATATTTGAACATACAAGACTGGATGGAACGGTTTTTTGCTTCTGTCGCTCTGACTCTGTTCCACCCTTATGGTTTGTGTAGGACAATCGTGTTTTACACCGTAAAAGTGAATGTGGAAGCTTGAGATCTTCTGGAATCCATCGGGAGTTTTTACGAATTGGGCATCTCCCAGGAGTTGGACGTGGCAAGTAATCTACAAAATATTCTGAAACTGATGGATTTAACGAATTTTGAAAACTTACTTGAAAGTGGTTTTTCTTCTGGCAAACAAAGGCATCATCCGCGTTAGAAAAATTAAAACCCTTGTCGGCGTCGACCCTATAGTGTGGAATTGGCCTAAAATACAAGACTTAGCGTTTGATTGAGCAAAAATAACAGGAAAGTTTACAGTTCTGTCAAATTTTGATCACAGAGGGAATGCCATTGAGATTGCTGAAATGGATTAAATCTAATACACTGGTATTGTGATTCTGAAAGGCAAGCTTCGGAGGAAGCGTATTCTTCATCCATAGGCGTAGACAATGGGCCAGGTGGGCTGAGTTGACTCGTTGAACAATGTTCTAGAAATAAAATAACATATCAACACATTCCTACGCTCCATTCTCCTCTGCAAAAGTTTTTCTAGCGTAAAACTCCTAGACCAGTGATTCCCAACCTTTTTCCGAAAGTCCGACTTCCTACCGTCATTAAAAGATGTGAAAATAAGTTAAAACGCATTTTCCAATTTCACCTTAAAGCTAGCACTTGAAAACCCATACGACATATGTACTTGTTGACAATACAAAAATCTTCATGGGAATAATTTTTATGTTTCCATTTTTATTTATTTTTTTAATAAAAACCGAAAAATTGAGAGAAGACGATTCGCCGCGCAGAGCCAGCAAAAACATTGAAAATGGAAGAAAGAGAACAAATAAAGCAAGGACAAGAGCCGTTGATGGAAATGATGAAGCAACTAATGGAAGAAATGAAACAACTGAGAGAAGAAAATAGAGGGGTAAAAAAAGAATTACTGACAATAAATGGAATACTGGAAAGAGAAAGCGAAGAATGGAAAGAAAGGAGAGAAGCTTCGAAGAAAGTATCAATAATTTAGAGAAGAAGTTGGAAAAAAAGAGAGGCAAGAAAGAAGAAACAATTTCATAATTACGGGTATGGAAATAAGGGAAAAAACTGATGCAAAAGAAGTAGAGGAATTTTTGAAAAAAGAAATTGAGGTAGAAGTAAAAGTGTTGGAAACAATAATTATAGGGAAAGAGGAAAGCAAGAAAATACTGGTTAAGACGCTTTGGGAGGAAAAACAAGAGGTGATGAAGAATAAAAATAAACTGAGAGGAAAGAGAATATATATTGATAATGATTGGACAGTACAAGAGTAAACAATTAAAAAAGGAATTAGGGAGATAGCTAAAGAGGAAAGAAAAAAAGGATACTCAACAAGGGTGGGAATAAGAAGCTGGAAGTAGGGGACAAAATGTATACATGGAATGAAAATAAAGGAAAATTGGAAGAAAAATTTCTCAAATCAAGTCAGCACTAACCGAAGAAAGAAACACAAAGGGGAGGGGTAGTAATGATGGGACAAATAAAGACTTTAGGCCATAATAGGGGAATGGGAAAGAAGAATGGGGAAGATAAACGTGGTTTAAAATTACTCTTTTGGAATATTGCGGGTTTGAAAAAGAAAGATAATTTATTTTGGGACTACCTGAAAAATTTTGATTTTGTGGGACTAACAGAAACATGGAGAGAGACTGGAACAAACTGAAAGACGTGTTGCCAAAGGAATTTCAGTGGAAATTGCAAGGGGCAAAAAAAGAAAAACGCAAAGGTAGAGCAAAAGGTGGAATCATAACAGGAGTGAAGAAAGATATAAAAGAAATAGAAGAGGGGGCAATAGAAATGGAATGCATAGTTGAAAGAAAACTGACTGTAAATAAAAAAAGATGGAGAATCTGCACAATATATAGTAGAGGAATAAGAAACACGAAACAAGAAATACAAGAAAAAATCGAAGAGTCCGAAGAAGAATTTCTACTGTTAGGAGGGGAATTTAATGTCAGAATAGGGAACAAAAGCAGGGAAGAAGACGGGGAATACACACGAAAATCGAAAGATAAAGTAGAAAACAAAGACGGAAAATTGTTATGGGAATTAATTGAACAAAGAGGTTGGGAAGTCTTGAATGGGGTAAAGGACGGGGACGAAGAGGGGGAATTTACCTGGATAGGTAAAACAGGGGAATCGGTAATAGACTACGTAATAGTAAACGGATTAGCAGAAGAAGAGGTAGAAACATTCAAAATAGGAGAGAGAGTGGACTCCGATCACATGCCACTAGAAGTAAAAGTGAGGCGCGTAAGTAGAGGGAGCGGATGCTTAAGGAATGAAGTAGGAAAAGAGAAGACGATATGGGTATGGAATGAAAAAGGAATTGAGCATTATAAAAAAAAATGTTGGAAGTGGAATTTAAGGAAAAAGGAACTGAAAAGAAAATGGAAGAATTAAAAAGAGGAATTGAAAAAGCAGCCATAAGAAAAGAAATTGTAACGAGAAATTTAGAAAAGAGAAACAGATGGTGGGATAGCAGATGCAGAGATTTAAAAACAGAAGCAAGGAAATGTTTACGAAGGTGGAAAAAGGGGAAAGGTATAAAAGAAGAGTACTGGCAAGCAAAAAATAATTATAGAAAACGATGCAAAGAAAAGAAAGAAGAGATATAGCAAGAAGAAGAAGAAAAAATTAAAGCCATAAGAACTGAGCAAGAAGCATGGCAGTATATAAATAAACAACGGAAGAAACATTTTATGGAACTGTTGAATGGAAAGGAAGAGAGAATGGTAGTGCAAGATAGTAAAACCGGGATTGGTGGTAGAGAAAGGGAGGCTGAGATTCGAGTAGAGGAAGTAGGAAAACAAGTAGGAAGACTGAAAAGAGGAAAAGCACCGAGGAAGGATGGGTTGGTAAACGAAGTGTGGATATTTGGGACGGATGGGATGATTGAAAGATTGAGCGAGTTAATGAATGATGTGTGGACGGGTAAAGGTTTTCCCAGGGAATGGAGAGTAGGACAAATATGCCCAATTCATAAAAAGGGTAATAAAGAAAAAGTAGAGAATTATCGGGGAATAGCTCTCCTAAATACGGCATATAAACTGTACGCAATGGTGTTAAATGAAAGGTTGGTGACAGAGATGAACGAAAAGAGTATATTACCGGAAAGTCAAGCGGGATTTAGAAGAGGTAGATGGGCTATGGACAATGTATATATCCTGCATCATCTAATAGAAAAAGAGTTGCTAAAGGAAGGAGGTCGGGTATATGCACTGTTTGTAAAACTAAAAGCCGCGTTTGATACGGTGGACAGAGACTGTTTGTGGGAATGCATGGAGAGATGAGGACTCAGTGAAAAGTTAATTGTAGCAGCAAGAGAGATTTATAGAGAGACAGTGACTAGTGTGAGAGTGGGAGGAATAGAAAGTGAAATGTTTTGGACGACGAAAGGATTGAGATAGGGATGCCCATTAAGTCCCAGTCTGTTTGCTTGTTACATAAGCGATATCGAGGAAATGTTTAGAGGAGTACAAGCGGGAGGAATTGTGGTGGGAAGAGAAAAGGTATGGTGTTTGGCATTTGCAGATGATTTGGTAATATTGGCGAAGGATGAATGTGGAATGAATGAGATAAAAAAAAATCTGCAAAGATACTTTAAAAGAAAGAAACTGGAGGTAAATGTAGAAAAAACAAAAATGATGGTGATTAGAAAAAAAAGGGAGAAAAGGGGAGGGAAAAGTATGGCGTTGGGAAGATTGAATCATAGACACAGTAAAGGAGTTTAAATATTTAGGATTTAAGTTTACAACAACTAACACGGTAAAAGCACACATAGGAGAAAGAAGGGTCAGAGCAATGCAGATCATGGGAAGGGTGTGGAGTATAGGTGAGAGAATATTTGGACATGACGTACGAAGAAGGATGAAAATGTTTGATAGTTTAGTTAGGAGTGTATTAATGTATGGAGTGGAGATATGGGGATGGAAGGAATATGCAGAGGTGGAAGCAGTACAACAAAAATATTTGAGGTGGATGTTAGGGCTACGGAAAGAGACGCGAGGCTATATAGTAAGAGAAGAATGTAAACGAGAGAAATTAAGAGTATACACTGGGAAAAGAGCTGTAAAGTATGATGAAAGATTGAAAGAAAGTGAGGAATGTAGGATATGGTATGAATGCTGGAAAGGAAAAAAAAAAGGAAGCAGGGAAAGAACATCACAAGGGTAGACAAAGATATTATGAAAGACTAGGATACGCATGGATGGAAATAGAGAGAAAGAGAGAAATGGGGGTGAGTATGAGAGAAGAGTTGTGTATGCGTGACAGAGACATAGATAAACAAGAGAGAAGAGCGAGTGTAAGTAAATCTAGGTACAGTGCAGACTATAGAAAGATAATAACAGAAACAACACCAAAGTACCTAGACAGAGAAAGCGCGAAAGAAAAAAAAATAATTGCGAGACTTAGGTGTGGAAATGAAGAATGAAATAATAAGTTTTGGGTAAGCGAAGGTGAGAGAATGTGTAGGATGTGTGGAAAAGGGTGATTTCACGCAATGTATTTCTGAAGCCATTAACAAGAAAAAACAAGTTGATGTTGTTTATTTAGATTTTCGAAAGGACTTTGATGAAATAGATCATTTTGTGTTGACTGATAAATTACGTCGGTATGGTTTTTCAGATTCTTTATTAATAAGTCTTTTTAATTCTTACTTATTAAAAAGAGAACAATATGTTAAATATCGGAAATTTGTCTCTGGAGTGCCTCAAGGATCCGATTTGGGTCATTTGCTCTTTCTCGTTTTCATTAACGACATTGTGGATATTATACAATCAGAGTAGTTACTATTTGCCGATGAAGTGAAATTATTCCACGCTATATTCAGTAGGGGTGACTTCATTATTCTTCAAAATAGTATTTTTGCGACACTAAATTGGTGTATCAGGAACCGACTCTTTCTTAATATCTGCAAATGTTGAGTTGTGACTAAAAAAAAATCGTCGCCGTACAAGCTTGACGATTTTTCGATTGAACGTGTCAATTTCTTTAAAGTCTTGGGTGTTTTGTTTGATTGAAAACTCACTTCCATCGAGCACATTAACGCCATTGTTGCAAACGCATTAAAGATCGTTTTATTTACAGGAATTGTAGAGTTTGGTGAAATTCGTACATTATGCTTACTGTACTCGATTCAAACTTGAATACAACGCTGTAATTCTATTCAGAGATCATTTTTAAAATCTCTCTACTATAGAATAGATGGAGTTTATCCTATTCGAGCGTTTGAGCACTCCTTATTATTATCCAGATTCAATTTTTATTCTCTTCAACCAAGACGCATTACTATTTCTGTAAAATTTTTGTTTAATCTAGTTCATGGTAATGCCGATTGTAATTTTCTATTAGAGAAATTAACCTTTCTTCTACCTCGTCATAATTCACGTCAACCATTTGAATTTTATTGTCAAGCAAATAGCACTAATTTGCTAATGAAGTCTCCTATTTATCATATGTGTGCACAGTTTAATAAAATTGCTAGGGAGTTTGATTTGAATGCGGATTCTTTTAATTATAGAAAACATTGTATAGTAGAAGCTTTTGGTAGTTAAGTTTTATTTTTCGGTAGTTAAGTAATTTAAGTTTATTTTTCCTGTTGTATTAATTAATTTCTTATAATTGGGTGTAAAAAATCTGTTGGAAATACAGACATTATTATTATTATTAAAAAAAAAATACTAATTGTTAGTGAACGCATTCTCAACCTTGACGGAAAGTTCGCCTACTTAACAATGAATTATTCCATTCAAGAAGATTTCCTCATTTACCACAGAGTTGAAGCTAATGGAGAGGACAATGCTTTTGGAACCTTATCAAATGCCTTGGAGAAATCGAGATAGATGATATCAAAAGGACATTTGGAGCCCAAGTCCCTCGTTCAAGTCAGACAAGCAACAAAGGAGATTTGACTGGGCCCATTTTCCGGGCAAAACCCATGCTGTTTAGATGATAACTTGGTGGCCTAACAGAAACTTACACATCTGGTCGTAAATTATAGACTCCATAACTTTAACTACAATCGACGTTAGACTGACCGGTCTGTAATTAAGACGTCAAATTTGAAACCCTTTCTAAAAATCGAACGAACAATTGCAGTTCTCCAATCATCTGGTAGGGACCTTGTCTTAAAAAATTGCTGCATTAGAATGTTAATGGGGACACTGAGTGCTTCAGCACAATTTTTCAAAACATTAGCCCTTAGCAAATCAGAGCCTGGAGACTTAGACGTCTTTATATAATAATGATAAAATAAAAATTATAATATTCAGAACATTTTGTTCGATTGTGGTTTAATTAATAACTTTAGTCGTCTGTTTTAAGAAGAGAAACTCATTCAAATCAAACTAATTTCTACGTGACATTCTTTCGATGTGTAAACATAAATAAATACTTGAGTGTCAAATTGCTATTACCTAGTGCTGAAGGACATTTTATGCCGCTAGTTGTGATTTAAATATATTTTAGAATGTTCGTACGGCGCAGGAGCTGCGGGGGTGTTATTTATGGCGCTGGTTTTTATTTTACAGTGGTTATTACAAAACGAAAATCGTAAAACCAATTTTATAATTTTTTTAAAAAGCTGGATTTGTCGGATTATACTTACAGCCTTCCACCAAATTTTTATTCATCAAATTAAGAACCTCATTTTCTAGAAAATTTGGGAATATCTACGTCTTTAATTATGATCAAATAAGAATAATAATAATCATATTCAAAACATTTTGTTGCCATTGTGGCTTAATTAATACTATTAGTCCTCTATTTTGAGGAGACAACTCATTCAAATTAAACAACTTCCTACGTGACATTCTTTCGATGTCACGTAAATAAATTGAAGTTAAGCATGTACACTGATAATAATACACTCTTTTCCGTTGGTTATTTGCTTTAAATAGATTTCATATTATCGGTATGTCTGCCCACATCATCTCCTTGAAATTTGTCATTTACACCAATGGTTTTTACTTTAAAAAGGTTATCAAAAAACATTTTTTTTTTTATTTTTCAAAGGAGCGGAATTCGTTGGGTTGTATTTCAAGGGCCAGGGAACTTCTGTCGAAGTAACCTTGGACTATTTTTTTTTAATTTGTGGCTGCACTGTCTTTACTAGAATTTCGCTTAAATCGAGAGGGAAAATTTCGGAAGAAGAATGGTCACTCAGTTTAAATTTGGTCAATCATTTGCAAAGTACCCTATACCCTATAGTTTTTGCACTTAAAACAAATATCATCATCAAACAAATCGGGTAGAATTCTAAAAATTAAAATAAAATTTAAATAGTATCGTGATCTGATAAAACCGGATTATGCAGGGTTGCTAAAACGTATAACAGCTAAATATTTCGTCGGTTGTCGGATATCCAACCATCATAAGAATATATATCAATTTAGATTCAGTTGAACGTGCCATTGTTAAATTAATTATTGCACACAAGTGACAGACTGGTAATAACAGCATTTTCATTTATTTCCAAGGCTAACTAAATGTCACATTTTTCTAAATTGTATTATTTCAAGCTTTGTTTTACCTTTTTAGTGCAAATAAAGAAAGGCATGTGTTACATCACTGAATGCAGAAAAAAGTTGCTTTTTTTCAAAAATATTTAATTTGATCCCTCTTCTTTTAAAAAAAATCAAGTTGACTGTATTAATACTTTTTAGCAACCCTGTGTGTTTTTTGCAAATCGATAACTCTATCAACGACACAATTGAAAGCTTTAGGTTCTACACGAATTCGAGTAATTAAAAACGTTTGACACTAATTTATTAATTTTACTTGGAATATCGGAATTATTTGACATATTTTTCCGTTTATAACGATATTCAAAACCTTTTGTCGGCGTAAAAACCCAATTTTCTACGGGAAAAACCCAATTTTAGTTTTGAATTCCAGGTAAATTCTACCGCATCTGGGGACCATGTGTTGGGTTCCTCAACAATCCCATTTCCATTATCGACCCTGTCATAAAATTTAATATTTACTTTTCGAAGAACTGAGATAATTTCATTAGGCTTTCGAAGAGAATAAATTTACCTGCGAAATGGGGAATTTAAACGAATGAAGGTAAGTTCTTGGTTGAAAATATTTAGTAGGTGTTTACGCTTAACAAGTATTCTTCATTAAAAAATGTTCATATTTTACAAACATAAAACATAGCCTCCTCGATCAAGATCTTTCCAGAATTACTTCTGAGCGAAAAACAAATGTTCTGCAAAATAAATTACAAAACCTAAATTTTCAAAATGTTTTTTTAAAAATTTTGCAAAAATACAATATCTGTTGAGAGTACTTCAAGGAAAAATTGACTTCAAGCAAACCGTAAGTAGCAGTTACACCATAGGGATTCCCATGTTAAATTTTATACTCAGCATTAGCTTATCTTTCAGCAAAGATTCAGAGTTGAAATTTTTATGATTTACATCTAGGGGCTGTGAAATTCATTTATTCATATATCACTATATTCGACGTTTTGCTACATTAATTAATCTGTCACTTAGTTGTCAAACTTTGAATCACCAGAGTCGACACGCAAATTTCCGAACACCCCGTATATGTATATTTTAGTCAAAACTCGGATATGTAATCCGGCCTTTAGTCATCTATCCGTAAAACAAAAAAGTGATCTATTGAACCCTAAATATATCTTTATAGCTTTCTGTCTAATCCGAATCTTCTAGGGCCTTAATTATAACTATTTGTATTTTTACATAAAAGTTGAATTTTCAAGAAGACTTTACGGTTATTCTAAACGACCAGCTTATGCACCAGAATTTCTTGGAAACAAGTAACCATTAGTAAAGGGATTAAATAAAGGGTGGTATAATTAGAGACGGTAGAGGGAGAAGTTACTCAGTTATAATCCCTCTCGTAAGTACATAAACGCTCAGTTGTGCCTCAGTTCCTCAGTACGTCTTTAGCAGTCTTCAGATTTAAAACTCTACAGATTGAACTACCCTGAACAACATGATCAAGTTCATTGTATTTATCTTTCTATTAGTGAAGTTTTCACAGGCAAAAAATTGTACCTGTATGCCCTTTTATATGTGTGAAGACGACTACACAATCATTGCTGATGGAGAAGGCTTGATAGAAATAAGGTAAGTTAAATTTACTTTTACCTGAACATTATTTAAGAGAATATAATAATCAAAATAAATAATTTGTTGCCGCGATATCCTCGGAGTTTACATCGTATATCTGCTTTAAATTTAGCCGTTTATTGTTAAATTGAAACAAAAACTAACACTCGTTAAAAAAGCGCTAATTTGTAATTTCTTTCATTTTTGGTCCCTATATAGGTTTTCAGATAATAATAATCATATCAGTTTTTTCACAAGTGCTGTTTAAATGTTTCTAACATTCATTTTTTATTTGCCTAAACAAAAATTTTAAAACCACTTTTCGAATTTCAGAAACGCCGTCGAATGCGAAGGCTTCTTGAACGTCTGCTGCATAGCACCTCGTCCTACAACCCCCGAACCCCTCAAAAAATCCACCAAACGCTGTGGCCTCCAAAACGACAAACCCTTCCCTTGGTCCTCCACCCTCCTCTACAAACAATACCCCAACTTCGTCTCCTCTTACAAATGTCGCGTCTCCCTCATTCACCCAAAAATCGCCCTCACCGCAGCCCACTGCCTCCAAGAAAAGGGCTTCTACCAAGTCAAAGTCGCCGGTTCCCTTCGCACCGTCGCCAACATCACCATGCACCCATCTTTCAAATGGGCGACTTTCCAGAACGACATCGCTGTGCTGATTTTGAACAAGCCCTTCAACGTGGAGAGAGTCAGCACGGTTTGTCTTCCGCCTCCAGGGAGTGTTTTGGATGGCATTAATTGCACCACGGCGACTAGTTCCAAGGAGAAGGGGAAAAAGTTGGAAGTTATTGGGTTGTCTGTGGTAGCCGGGGATGAGTGTGTGGAGAAGCTGAGGAAGAGTAGGCTGGGAGCAAGTTTTGAATTGCACGAGTCGTTTGTTTGTACTCGAGGAGTGGAGAATGACACGTGTGCGGGAGATGGGGGGAGTCCTTTGATTTGTCCGGTTCCGGGAGTGCCGGGACGGTACCAACAAGCTGGAATTGCGTCGTGGGGGATTGGGTGTGGGGATGGTAATCCAGGGATGTACACGAATTTGGCACATCTTAGAGACTGGATAGATGAAGTGGTTGTGGAGACTGGGCTTGATGCAAGTTTTTATAGAGTTTAGTGTACTGTATCGTATTTTTTTTTTTTTTGTAATAATAAAATCGATAATTTAGAATTCGGTGACGTTTTATTTTTAATTAATGTATTAATTTTTGCAAAGTTTCAAAAATTGTAGTATAAAGTCTGTCGTTTTTGAAAATTTTAAAGGAGACTTGGTGTTTATTTTTACCATCCTAAAATTACGCAATTTTTACACAAATAAAATCTCTTTAAATTATCTAAAACATTGGTCGAACGTTATTTCGACAGAACTTTCCTGAAGTGCAGCACAAAAAATCCCGTTTCTTTGAAACATTGTCATTTTTTTGCGATGTTTGTTTTCTGATAACCTCTATAAAGTAAAAGCCAGTGGAATGACTCTGCCGTAGCTCTTTTGACTTGAGTTTTCTAATTCTTCAATTTTTTTTTTGTTTCTTCAGTTTTTCGATTTGCAATTTTTGAGTTTTCAAGTTTAAATTTTTCAGTTTTCTAACTTTTGAATTTCTCAATTTTTCGACTTGCGATTTTTTTCGCTTCGGTGTTCATTTTCTTTATTTTTATAATTTCTTGCTTTCAATTTTTAGTTTCTTCAATTTTTCGATTTGCAATTTTTCAATTTTTTTTTGTTTCTTCAATTTTCGAGTTTTCATTTTAAATTTTTCAGTTTTTCAATTTTTCTACTTTTGGATATCTCAGTTTATAGATTTTAAAATTTTTGGGTTTGCATAAATTTTCACGAATTTTCAATTTAATTTTTTCAATTTTTCGGTTTTTCAATGATATGATTTTATAATTTTTCTTTTTTTCAACGTATTTTTTTTTTAATATTTGGATTTTTCAATTTTTCGATTTGTAATAACTTTTTGTTTTCAATTTTTCGACTTTTCAGCTATTAGATTTTTTATTTTTCGTTTCTTCAATTTTTGATTCACAATGTTTCTAATGTTTATTTTAAATTATGTAATAATGATTATAATTTTTAAAATTTTTGGCTTTTTCATTTTACGATTTGAGAATTTTTCCATTTTTCTATTTTATAATTTCTTGTTTTTTCAATTTTTCGTTTCTTCAATTTTTCGATTTGCAGTTTATCGATTTTCCAATTTTTGGGAGTTTCAGTTTTTAGATTTTGAAATTTTTGGATTTGTATACAGTTTCACGAATTTTCAATTTTTCGATTCTTTCATTTTTCAATTTGTACTTTTTCGTTTCATTTTTCATTCTTTTTTACAATATATCTTTTAATTTTTGGATGTTTTAACTTTTAGATTTTATTTTACGTTTTTTCAGTTTTAGGTTTTTCAATTCCTTGATTTTTTAATTTTTGATTCGCAATATTTTTAATTTTCAATTTAAATTATGTAGTAATAATTTGAATTTTAAAAATTTTTGCTTTTTTCACTTTACGATTTTACAATTTTTCCATTCTTGGATTTTTCAATGTTCCGATTTTATAATTTCTTATTTCTCCAATTTTTCGATTTGCAACTTTTCAATTTTTATTTTTTTTGTTTCTTCAATTTTCGAGTTTTCATTTTTAAATTTTTCAATTTTTTGATTTATATTTTTTTGTTTCATTTTTCATTTTCTTTTTTACAATATTACTTTTTTTAATTTTTGGATTTTTCAACTTTTAGATATTTTTATCTTTTGTTTTTTCAGTTTTAGGTTTTTCAATTTCTAGATTTTTCAATTCTTCGGTTCTCTAATTTTTGATTTTAGAATTTTTTCATTTTTGGATTTCAAAACTTTTTCATTCATCCGATTTTTCAATTTTTAGATTTTTCAATGTTCCGATTTTATAATTTCTTGTTTTTTCAATTTTTCGTTTCTTCAATTTTCGAATTTTCATTTTTAATTTTTCGGTTTTTCGATTTTCCAACTTTTGGATGTTTCAGTTTTTAGATTTTGAAATTTTGGATTTGCATACAGTTTCAAGAATTTTCAATTTTATTTTTTCAATTTTTTGATTCTTTAATTTTTCAATTTTTTGATTTGTACTTTTTCGTTTCATTTTTCATTTTCTCTTTTACAATATTTCTTTTAATTATTGGATTTTTTAAATTTTAGATTTCATTTTCCGTTTTCTCAGTTTTAGGTTTTTCAATTTCTCGATTTTTCAATTTTTGATTCGCAATGTTTTTAATTTTCAATTTAAATTATGTAATAATAATTTGAATTTTAAAAATCTTTCCTTTTTTCATTTTACGATTTTAGAATTTTTCCATTTTCGGATTTTTCAATGTTCCGATTTTATAATTTCTTGTTTTTCCAATTTTTCGTTTCTTCAATTTTTCGATTTGCAATTTTTCAATTTTTATTTTTTTTGTTTCTTCAATTTTCGAGTTTTCATTTTTAAATTTTTCAGTTTTTTGATTTATATTTTTTTGTTTCAGTTTTCATTTTCTTTTTTACAATATTATTTTTTTAATTTTTGGATTTTTCAACTTTTAGATATTTTTATCTTCCATTTTTTCAGTTTTACGTTTTTCAATTTTTCGATTTTTCAATTTTTCGTTTCTCTAATTTCTGGTTTTAGAATTTTTCCATTTTTGGATTTCAAAACTTTTTCATTCATCTGATTTTTCAATTTTTGGATTTTTCAATGTTCCGATTTTATAATTTCTTGTTTTTCCAATTTTTCGTTTCTTCAATTTTTCGATTTGCAATTTTTCAATTTTTATTTTTTTTGTTTCTTCAATTTTCGAGTTTTCATTTTTAAATTTTTCAGTTTTTTGATTTATATTTTTTTGTTTCATTTTTCATTTTCTTTTTTACAATATTATTTTTTTAATTTTTGGATTTTTCAACTTTTAGATATTTTTATCTTCCATTTTTTCAGTTTTACGTTTTTCGATTTCTCGATTTTTCAATTCTTCGGTTCTCTAATTTTTGATTTTAGAATTTTTTCATTTTTGGATTTCAAAACTTTTTCATTCATCCGATTTTTCAATTTTTAGATTTTTCAATGTTCCGATTTTATAATTTCTTGTTTTTTCAATTTTTCGTTTCTTCAATTTTCGAATTTTCATTTTTAATTTTTCGGTTTTTCCATTTTCCAACTTTTGGATGTTTCAGTTTTTAGATTTTGAAATTTTGGATTTGCACACAGTTTCAAGAATTTTCAATTTTATTTTTTCAATTTTTTGATTCTTTAATTTTTCAATTTTTTGATGTATACTTTTTCGTTTCGTTTTTATTTTCTTTTATAGAATTTTTTTTTGATTTTTGAATTTTTTAAATTTTAGATATTTTTATCTTTCATTTTTTCCGTTTTAGGTTTTTCAATTTCTGGATTTTTCAATTTTTCGTTTCTTCAATTTTTGATTCGCAATGTTTCTAATTTTCATTTTAAATTATGTAGTAATAATTAGGATATTTAAAATTTTTTCATTTTACGATTTTAGAATTTTTTCCATTTTTCAATTATTGAATTTTAAAACTTTCTCATTTACTCGATTTTTCAATTTTTTTGTTTTTCAATATTCCGATTTTATAATTTCTTGTTCTTTAAATCTCTGCTTTTTTTGTTTCTTTTTCTATTTTACGATATACAAGTCTTCGAATTTTCATTTAAAATTTTTCAGTTTTTCGATTTTCTAACTTTTGGATGTTTCTGTTTTTAGATTTTGAAATTTTTGGATTTGCATACAGTTTCACGAATTCTTAATTTTAATTTTTCAATTCTTTAATTTTTCAATTTTTTGATTTGTACTTTTTCCTTTTATGCTTAATTTTTTCAATATCCTGATTTTACCATTTTTCTTTTTTTTTTTTAAATATTAAAATTTTGGATTTTTCAATTTGTCGGCTTGTAATAATTTTTCGGTTTTCAATTTTTCAACTTTTACATTTTTTAATTTTTCGTTTTTTGAGTTTTAAGTTTTTCAGTTTCTTGATTTTTCAATTTTTGATTCGCAGTTGAATGTTTCAGTTTTTATATTTTGAAATTTTTGTATTTGCCTACAGTTTCAGAGTTTACAATTTTTCGATTCTTCAATTTTTCAATTTGCAATTTTTCGGGGTTGCAAATGTTACAATTTTATAATTTCTTGTCTTTTCAATTTTTCGTTTCTTCAATTTTTCGGTTTGTAATTTTTTAACTTTTTTTGTTTCTTCTATTTCACGATACACAAATCCTTGAATTTTCATTTTTAAATTTTTCAGTTTTCCGATTTTCCAACTTTTGGATGTTTCAGTTTTTAGATTTTGATTTTTTGATTTGTACTTTTTCCTTTTATGTTTCATTTTCTTTATTTTTTCGATTTTTCAACTATTAGATTTTTTATTTTTCGTCTCTTCAATTTTTGATTCGTAATTTTTCTAGTTTTCATTTTAAATATGTAATGATAAGTATTTTAAAATTTTTTCGCTTTTTCATTTTACGATTTTAGAGTTTTTTCATTTATCAGTTATTGGATTTTAAAACATTTATTGAATTTTTCAATTTTTCGATGTTTCAGTTTTCGTTTTCCAATTTCCCGATATTTAATTTTTCAACTTTTCGATTTAACAATTTCTCAATTCGATTCGTTTTTTCAGCTTTTCGATTTTTCAATTTGTTCCGATTTCTCAGTTTTTCAATTTTTTAACTTTTCGAAAAAAAAATGGAAAAATTGCCAAACACTACAACAGAAAAATCTTAAAATGGAAAATCTAAAAATCTGAATAATCGAAAGATTAATAATTGAGACACTTGAAAATTGGAAAAATGGAATATTGTAAAATCGAAACATTGAAAATTAAAGAAATCAGAAAAACGGATAATTGAGAAATCAAAAAATTACAAATAAACGAAAAATTGCAAACCGAAAAATTGAAGAAACGAAATACCGAAAAATTTGGTAGTCGAGAAAGTGAAAAATTGAAAAATATTAAAGGTGAAAAACCGAAATTTTGAAAAATGGAAAAACGAAAAATTGTGATATCAAAAAATTGGTCGAAGATAAATAAATCCAGATTTTTCGAAAAATTATAAGATTTGATTTTGCTAATTTTATTTTTTATGATAACTCTAAATGTAACAGTGCTACGCATTTGTTTCAAGTGAGTTTTCACATTACAAAATTTTGTGATGACATCATCAACATTTTTGCAACGATACGTATATCAATTTGAATAAATACAGCAAACACCTGTATAAGTAATTCTAAAATATACGAATGCGTGAAAAACCACAAATATAGTCATAATATTTTGCATAGTTTGGAGAGAATTTATTAGGCAAAATTTTTAGATGACGTCATTAATTTTTTTGGGAAGGGAGAGAAACGAATAAATTTTGATTAACGATTTACTGTATTACCATAATCTTAAAACGTGTGCAAGTTTTCAGAATAGTGATAGTGAGGATGATGAGTCAAATGTTTGTGAGCGTTTTACTATATACACGATATTCCTAATATAGGAGTACATACAAAATTTGACCAGTAGATTCGGATATTACCTGTCTAATGAAAAAGACAGGTAGATGGAAACACGGGATTTATTTCTTCGTGCTCCGACGGTAATGAAAAATCAAGAAAACATAACAGTACGGGAGTCAACCAACGGACTCGATTACACTCGTGAAGTAAAAATTCAATAGTTAAAATCCCCCTAGAAGGTCGAGACTTACATTTTGGAAACCACTGTCCTAGACAAACACTCTTTCTAACAAAACGAGAAAAACTTTTCTGTCAGTACACGCCAGAAAGAAAAACAATTGTCACTTACCTGGCTCACTTTTGACAAGCGGTGAATCCTGTGACAACTTTCTCTTCTTCGGCGCACTCTGTAAATTCGTATAAACCGTCTGTATATTTTCCAAATTGGGTTCGCAAATATTGTTCTCTATGGTAGAATTATACCCCAAATGTACCAAATGGTTCTTTTCAAACTCGTTCTCTTTATAAATCCCCCGTTCCGTAAAATTTTGATTCGAATCCCCATTGCCCAACAAAATCTGTCTGTTGTCCTCCGGCATTATTATTCTTTCCGGCAAAAGGGCATCATTCTGATTCACGATTATCCTTCCATCCTGCAAAATATTTCCGTTCTCTATCAACGGCTCCCCATTCTGTTCCGCCACCACAATATGAGAACCCAAAATCAAATTATCACCCAACATGGGATTAATGATCGAGGTGGGTTTGTATATACTTTGTCCAAGGGTTGTGTAAATGTTGTCGGAAGGGTTGATGCTTCCCTCGCATCCTTCTTGCGGACTGTAGGGATGCTCGGAGCTGCTGTCTGGCGGGCTTTCTGGGAGCGAATGCCTGTAATGGGACGTAATGTATAGATCGAAATGTTTGGTAGTTTTTGTAGTTATTACCCAGTTGTGTTTCTTTTATTTTCGACAATGACATTAAGAAGTTTGCCTGATGTTGGTGTAGAGTTGAGAGATTCGTTAAAATATGTGTTGTTGCTTTGTGAACCCTCGCTGTTGATGAAGTCTTCCAATTGAGAGAAATCGAGGGCTTCGTTGTCGATACCGCTGACGAAATCTGACCCGCGACCTGCAATTAATAGAACACAAATTAACGTAAAAATCGCATAACTAACGGGATAAAATGTCCTTCAGCACTAGGTAATAGCAATCTGAAGCCCAAGTGTTTATTCATGTTTATATATCGAAAGAATGTCATGTAGAAATTAGTTTGATTTGAATGAATTTGCCTTCTCAAAACAGGATTAAAATTGCTAATTAAACCACAATCGGAGAAAATGTTATGAACATTATAATTCTTATTTTATCATTATTATATAAAGACGAGAAAATGGGGTGACTCGTTCTTAATTTGACCAATGAAAAATGTATGATCAACATGGATAATACTAGTTATAAAAAGAGCTGTAGACAACACACATACCATAGAAGAAACTGAAAATGATGGAACGGGCAGAAAGATGTGGAAAGAAAAATGCAAAACCACAATACGTAACTTACACGGCAGAAAAGCATAGGATTAAGCAAGTAAGTAGAAACAAACATTATACCATACCCAACAAGGTAATAAATAAGAAAATGAGTAAATTATTTTTAACAAATAATGTTTAATAACCAACAATAAATGATATCAATGGTTATCTGGTTCAATAATTTATTAAAAACTACACAATCGTTTAAACCTTGAAAATGAATAACGGAATAACTAGTTACTACGATCATAATGACGACAATTAATATTCAAACACCTACTTAAAAAGACAATTAACAAATACGGGTTGGTTAGCCTTTTATCATCTACACGATATTTCTAACATACATACAGGGTGTTCATTTTATCTGTTCACGCCTGAATATTTCTGCATAGACAACCCATTTTACGTTTCATAAACAGCTTTGATTATTTTTTATTTTTAAATAATAATTAACACATAGACAGCAATGATCAGAAACAAAATTATGATAAATTATTTTCAATTTTCGTTTGCTTTAAAATGTTTTCGAATTCTGGAAAAACAGACATCCTATTAAGGGTCCCCAGTCGTCGCCCGCAAAATCGGTTTCAGTGAGAAGAATTATTATTTTTTGTAACTATGCAACCCAAAGTACCGATCCACGGCAGGTAGCGACCCAAGAGAGGAGGGATTATGGTCCACTGTAGGGAGTCCGTCATAAAATGCAAATCGGTGAACAACACCAGATGAGCTTATTTATTTTCAAATGAAGGGTACAGGGAAATAACCATCGAAATCCATTTGTATGTATTTTCAAAGAAATTGAGTTGAAAGTTTAAAATGCTGCAGAAAATAGATTGAGAAACCCACAAGGTTCAGTCTAACACAACTTTTTATTTTCTTTATAATGTTTTAAAAATATATAAAATAAACTGTTTATGTTCCAATATAACAGCAAAAAAAATTGGTGGAAAGTTGTTTCGACAGAACTTCCCTCGCATCTAAAATACAATGAAACATACACAGCATTTTCGAGTTAAATTTTTACTTTAGGTACACAATTTTGTGATGAAATCATCAACATTTTGCAAGGACACGTAAATCAATGTGGATTAGACTAAAAATAACAGTATTCCAAAAATTTCTGGGAATATGGAGTGAGTCGAGACTGATTTAATCAATAGAATAAATTGACTCATTCATTAATTTTTTTGAGCCATCTAGGTATATAAGCAAATCTAAAAAAATATGAATGCAATGATAAATTACAAGTAAAAACTCATCATATTTTGCACATTTTTAGTAGAATTTATTCAGCAAAATTTTGAGATGACGTTATTAGTTTTTTAGTAACATAATCCTGAACTTGTGATTTATAAATACATTATTGAGATTTTTCTGCTTTTCGGTTTTTCGATTTTTCAACTTTTGATGTTTCAATTTTTCAGTATTTTAATTTTTGACATTTTCAATTTTTCCATTCTTCAAATTTTCGATTTCTCTATTTTTTTATTTTTCGATTTCTCAATTGTCCGATGTTTCACTGATACGATTTTGCAATTTTTCAACTTTTCGATATTTTAATTTTTCAATTTTTAAAATTCTAGATTTTTCGATTTCTCGAGTTTTCAGTTCTTCTATGCATATTTCAGTTTTTCAATTTTCGGAATTCATTAAATTTCTGATTTTCCAGTTTTTCGATGTTTGGATTTTTCAATTATACGATTGTTCAATTTCTCGATTTCCAAATTTTAGATTTTCCAATTTAAATTTTTGTTTTTTGTTTTTTCATGTTTGGACTCTTATTGCTAAAAATAAAAGTAAAAAATAACTACCAAAATTGTGACTAAAAATATGTAAAAATTAATAGAAAATAGAACACATTGCTGCTAAAACATAAAAATAACTGTACTTTCCCAAAAAAATCTATTGCATAATTACTGTTCCACTAGTATTGCTAATTTAGGACGTTAGTATCAAACGCAGTAAAGTATTAATTTTTAGTTAAACAAAAAAATTGGTCTAAAGAGTTTAGACAGTACTTCTCTCGCTGTCGGAAACTTGACGACTGCATGCCTATTGTGTTTTTTTTTCTCATTACATTTTTGTAGTGGGAATTTAAAAAAAAAATTGTGATGACGTCATCAACATTTTTGCAAGGACACGTATATCAGTTGGGATAGATGTAGTGTAATACTAAGAATAAAATTATTGTATTCCCAAATTTTCGGGAAAATGAATTGGGTCGTTTTGAATATTGATTTCTTATAATCAATAAAATAACGAAACAATTTACTCAGGTATACGGTGCCGGTGTGTAATATCTAGAGAGCGGACTTCTGTCGGGCTAGGCAAGGCCAAACTCGGTACGGCTCGTGCAGGATGCGAATTCATTGCGGTTGCGGACTGCACTTCGTTTATTTGAGATTAGAATAACGCTGTTTCGTTGCACTCTGCTGTTAATTCCCGTTCTCATTTACTTAGTCGTTTGATTAATAAATCGTTAATTATATTTATGGAATTAGTACCGATCAAACGTGACGTAGTCCGACAAAAATCCGCTGTCTGGTAATATGAAAGGCAACTGAAAATCGTTTATGTATAAACATTCTTACTTTAAGATGACAAGCGTAACAGCATACGTGAGAGGCAAACAGAGAAACTGTAAACAAAACGACCATCGGTTTTATTGCTTCGACTTCCGCTTATTATATAAAACATTGGGTTTTATTTTAATTCTTGACGGTGAAATTCACAATTGGTTGATTATAAACATGTCTATTCCACATTCGCGAAACCAAGTGAGCGCATAAAACAAATGCAGGTTTGTAATGTTAAAGTCGATGTAAATAAGCGTGCTACCCTTATGTTTCAACCGAGTTTTTCCTTTAACAAATTTTGTGTCTACCAAATTGGGTTGGTTGGGGTGTAATACTAATAATAAGTGTTGCCTTTAATTTAATCAATAAAATAAATTGACTTCATTAATTTTTTTGAACCACCTCTTAAGAAAATCTAAAAAATATGAATGAAATGATAAATCACAAGTACAAACTCATCATATTTTTTGCATTTTAGATAGGATTTATTCAGCAAAATTTAAGGGTGACGTCATCAATTTTTTTAGGAGGGATGAACAAATACATTTTGAACAAAAGTTTACCATGCTTATAATAACTTTAAAATATTCCTAAGATTTCAAAGCATTCGGTTTTGTAATTCCTGATTAAATCGATAAAATAAATTCACGCCTTCATTAATTTTTTTGAGTCACCCTGCATATGCAAATCCAAAAAATGAATGGAATGATAAATCACAAGTACAGACTCATCATATTTTGTACATTTTAGATACGATTTATTCGGCAAACTTTTGAGCTGACGTCATCAGTTTTTTGTAGAAGATAACCAAATATATTTTGACTAAAAATTTATTATGCTCTTTATAACCTTAAAACATCTGCAAGATTTCAAAGCATTCGGTTTTGTAGTTCCTGATTAAATCAATAAAATAAATTTACGCATTCATTAATTTTTTTGAGTCACCCTGTATATGCAAATCGAAAAAATTTGAATGAAATGATAAATCACAAGAAGAGACTCACCATATTTTGTACATTTTAGATAGGATTTATTCAGCAAAATTTTGTGGTGACGTCATAAATTTTTTAGGGGGGACGACCAAATACATTTTGATCAAAAATTTACCATGCTTATGATAATTTTAAGATATCTTGAAGATTTCGAAGCATTCGGTTTTGTAGTTCCTGAGTAAATCAGTAAAATAAATTTACGCTTTCATTTATTTTCTTGAATCACCCTGTATATGCAAATCCAAAAAATATGAATGGAGTGATAGATCACAAGTACAGACTGATCATATTTTGTACATTTTAGATATGATTTATTCGGCAAATTTTCGAGCTGACGTCATCAAGTTTTTGGAGGGGATAAGCAAATATATTTTGACTAAACATTTATTATGCTCTTTATAACCTTAAAACATGTGCAAGATGTCAGAGCATTCCGTTTTGTAGTTCCTGATTAAATCAATCAAATATATTTACGCATTCATTAATTTTTTTGAGTCACTCTGTATATGCAAATCCAAAAAATATGAATGGAGTGATAAATGACAAGTACAGGCTCATCATATTTTGTACATTTTAGATATGATTTATTCGGCAAACTTTCGAGCTGACGTCATCAAGTTTTTGGAGGGGATAAGCAAATATATTTTGACTAAACATTTATTATGCTCTTTATGACCTTAAAACATCTGCAAGATTTCAGAGCATTCGGTTTTGTAGTTCCTGATTAAATCAATAAAATATATTTACGCATTCATTAATTTTTTGAGTCACCCTGTATATGCAAATCCAAAAAATATGAATGGAGTGATAGATCACAAGTACAGACTCATCATATTTTGTACATCTTAGATATGATTTATTCCACAAACTTTTGAGCTGACGTCATCAAGTTTTTGGAGGGGATAAGCAAATATTTTTTGACTAAAGATTTATGATGCTCTTTATAACCTTAAAACATCTGCAACATTTCAAAGCATTCTGGTTAGCAGATTAAAAATTAAATTTCAAAATGTTGTTTTATAA